GTTATGGTATGTGACCATATCTGTACTATGTTCATATTCCTAGTTTTAAAAATCACGACTGAGACAGGGTTTGTTGGTTTCCAGGTAAAGAGTATTTAAGGATGTTGTGATCCATTGGTAAAGCAAAGGGAACTCTCATATTGCAACTAATATTTGACATCCCGGTGTCTAGGGCTATGCAGAATTATTCACTTCCTCCCATCACCCTATCTCATGTCCATGTTTATTACAGTTTTGCAAAAATCAAAAAGAGTTTTTCTAGACAGCTAAAATAGTTTGATAAGAGAGAGGAACTCATTTCTTGCTAAATCCATTTTTCAAAGCCAATATCAGAATGTGGGTAACTCCCATCCTCTGAGCAGCTGCAATTCAGGCCACAAAGTACACCTAAGCATTTTACAGTTAACTCTGCATCCACTATGATTCACTTAAAGGCAAGCCAGACCCTTAAAGAGACAGGCACCCTGGAGCTGGAGAGATGACTCAGCGGTTAAGAGCACTGGCTGCTCTTGTAGAGGACCTGGATTCAGTTCCCAGCACTCACATGGTCACCAACAACCATCCATTGCTGCAGTTCCAAGAGCTCCGACACCCTCTTCTGACCTCCATGGGCATTACACGATGTGGGTACACTTATGATGCGTGCAGGCAATGTACTCATACACATAAAATTTTTTTAAAAAGAGACAGGGACCCTCAACACCCCCTTTTTCTCTTGCTGGGACCATACCAGCAAATTTTGGGCACCCTCAGCAACTCCCATAATCCCCTCCCTGTAGTGTCTATATGGGGATGCCAGCTTCTGTGTTGAAGAAGCTGATGATTTCATACATTTATTTAGTTAGAAGTTCAAGCTTGGCATTTCTCAGTTTAGTAAAAACACCATTCCCTTAAAGATGTTTTTTACATCCATGTTGTGATGTAAATTTTATGCTCTCAAACCCACAACCTTTTTTTAGCAAATCTATTTTTTTATGTCTTACATACAAAATGTGTTTGAACCTTATGTATGTTTCTTCAGCATCTCTGTGGCTTTTAGACATCACAAGTTCATAAATGAAGAAGACAAAATGTAAAGCCCATTTCTTAGCAACTATTTTAGTGCTTTATGAGGAGACTGGAATAGCCTGTGCTGATCAGCTGGTCTGTGCTAGGTGGTGAACACTTTGGGAATCGAGGGGAAATGATACGCAATTTATTTTTATTCTTTATTAAGAGAGGATCCATTTAAGTGGACTCTGAAAATCCTGCTAAAATTGCTACTGACAAGTCACAGTGCATATTTAACCAGTGTTCCTGTTTCCAACAAAGAAATGCCTTGGTAGCACTTTGAGTCTTCTAGCCATACATGTCTATACTGCAAATATTTTAGGCCTCTTCTAGACTAGATTCTTCAATATATGTGGACATTCAGCTACCTTCATGGGGAACACAGGCCTTGTTCCCGAACCTGTACCCATGGTGTTATAATAATCTCATCTCCTTTGATGCCTCTCTCTGGTCTTGTGCTAAAATTCACCTTCTACCCTCCAACTACTGGCTTTGTCCTGTCGTGCCCTCCCCATTGCCTTCAACCTTCTCTAGCTGTCCGTTGCCTGGGGAGTGATTTTAGGTTTCTTAAAGTAATTCCTGGCACTCATGACTCACAAATCCCCAATTTATATGCTCTATTCTTGGAATCTCAACTCCAAGTTCTTTATAAACTATAGAAATGGTAATGTGTTCTTGTTCACTTCCCCTGACCTCTTTGGCGAGCTCTTCACACTCTTCCTGCTAGTTTTTTCCCACCAAAGTTCACCTCAAATAGTATATTTCTTAAGCTGTTGCCCACCTTCTACATGACTAAGGTTTCCTGACCATGCTCACACAGTGATTCTGGAGTATATGAATGACTGACCAATCATTGGTTCAGGCCTTCTGTTTGAACACATAATTTGAATTAGTCAGCAGACACAGAGGACCAACTAGACAGTAACTCTTTGCTTCTTAGGCCTCTCTGTTCCAACCAGTCAACTTAAAACCTTACAACATTTTCTTCCTAATATTATATAGAACCATTGCTTCATCATGTCCATAAACTAATCATCTTTAAGATGCACACAATTAAAAGGCACCTTTGGAATACGTTCATCATAACTGTAGTTTTCCACCTAAACTTCCAAATTTTCTGATTCCTCATTTTACCTTAAACTATTAACTTTCCTTACTTAATGTTAATACTTTAGTTTACTGAGTTATAATCTTCCTCTATGTCCCAAAATCCTTCAAAGTACTCTTAATATGCAACCAAAAAGATCCTGCTTGTGGTAAGAAAAACATGGAAGACTTTAGTGGTCTCCGGTTACCATGTTACACAGTGGAGTGTGGATTGGCAGAATTCCTTTGCAAAGAGCCAAATTACAACTATTTTAAGCTTTGTGGGCCACATGGCTGCAGTCAAAACCACTTTACTCTGCAGTTACAGCAAGAAAACAACCACAAACAAATTAGAGTGGCTAGAGTCCCATAAAACCATACTTCTACAAACAGGCAGCTGAGAACCATGGGTTGCCAACTCCCGGGTCACTTGTTGGAAGAAGGTCCGGTCAGACTGCTTAGGAACAGAAGCGTTTTCCGGTTGTGCATGGCCCTGAAGTAACCTTCCAAGGCTTGTACCATACACATCATACGCTATAGTTTTCTCAGAAGCAGAAGAGGGAGTGAGATTATATAAAGCTTCATTTCTTTCATAACAACCCTCACAGCTCAGCATATCAAGAGTCGCATTCCAAGTGAACCTGTAATTTCTGTGTGCTGCTCTTGCATAAGGAATGGGAGCTATTGGGGCTGGAGAGGTGGCTCAGCGGTTAAGAACACTAACTGTTCTTGCAGAGGACCCAGATTTGAATCCTAGCACCCACATGGCAGCTAACAACTGTCCATAACTCCAGTTGCAGGGGATCCAACAGCCTCTTCTGTCCTCTGCAGGCATTGCGTGACATGAGTGCACTAACCTACATGCAGGCAATATAGGCATACACATAAAATAAAAATAATAAATAAAGTATTTTTTAATTAAAAAAAAGAATGGGAGCTATAAAAGGGCTGTGGTGCTCCTTATTGGTAGTACAATTTTTAAGGAAATACCTCACAGTAATGACCCCAAAGGAACAAAATCAGTGTATCCAGTGATATTTAAAACAGAAATATTCATTAATGTTAACAATTTAGAGCAAGCCTGCTGGGAAATGGAACAGTAGTCCGGAGGCCTTTGTCAGGATCTCTCTCTGTGGCCACTGTGTGAGTATATTAATCCTTGAAAATGTGCACATTGGAAATCACAGCTGACCTAGAACTCTCTATGTAGACCAGGCCTCGAACTCACAGAGATCCACCTGCCTCTGCCTCCCAAGTGCTGGAATTAAAGGCGTGCGCCACCACACCCAGCTGCTGCAAGTATCTGCTTAAGCCATAGAAACAACAGTGAATAAAACCAAACTTCTTGCCAGTATTCTTACGAAAATGACAAAAAAGGTGTTTGAGGGACAAAGAGATTTTAGCAATGAAATCCTTAGAATTGTGATGCTATAGAATTTTTGTCAATAATTAAGGTCATATTAAAAAGCTTTTTCCCTTTATTACTACAATTTTAAAGACGAGAAGGTCATGATAATTTCGTTCAACCATAATTTGAGTTCTTACTGTGTACCTGATACTATGTACATATATGGAATACACAAAATCTGAATAAAGCATTTTACACCCCTCATGGGCTGCATTCCAGTGGAGGACAGAACACACAAAAAGTCAAATTCGTAGGAAGTTAGAGGATGACTCAGAGGTAGAGGGGAAGGAGGAAGGCAAGATAATGAAATGTTGGGAAAGGTAAATGTTTAGAATGAGTGGTCAAGAAGATTCCTTAAGTAAATGGCTTTTGATTAAATAGTTAAATGAAATGAATGCACTAGCAATGTACAGTGGGGAGGGGGTCATTCTAGATGAGGATCAGCAAGTTCAAAGACCTGAGACAGGGCCTGGGGTATTCAAGGAACTTCAAGAAAGCCATAGGCTGAGTGTTATAAGTAAAGAAGAGAATATTAGGGAATGAGGTGGAAGAGGCCAGAGAAGATTAGATCAAATCCAGTCCCAGTCACTTAAGTCACTATAAAAATAGGATGTTGGCTGGTGTGGTGGCACACACCTTTAATCCCAGCACTAGGGAGGCAGAGGCAGGCAGATCTCTGTGAGTTCGAGGCCAGCCTGGTCTACATAGCGAGTTCCAGGCCAGCTGGGGCTACAGGGAGACCCTGCCTCAAAAAGACAAAAACAAACAAACAAACAAACAAAAAACCAGGATGTTGAATTCTATTTTAAGAAGACATTGTGGAGTCTGGGGTAAAAGAGAAAGATGACCAAGTTTCACATTAAAATAATCCCTGCTATTAAGAACATGGGATACAGGGAGGCTTTAGGAAGTCAGTGCTGCAATCCGGTTGGGCCGGTAAACCTCTCCAGAAGAGAAGAACAGGTGTGACAGACCCGAGGCTCCCCACTGCCAGGCCCACCTGTCACCAGGGTGAGATTTCTCTGGAGCAGTGAACATAAATGAACTCATTGATCAAGGGCTGCTTGAGGGTTGCTTTTACCTCAGTGGGAAGCACTGTGTCAGGGCCAGAATGGGTGCTTGGTGGAGGGTGGTTAACTGTTGTGAAATAAAACAAAACAAAAGCTAATAATGAAGCTGGACTTGCTTGCCAGCTACCTCCTGTGCAGCATCTCTCTTCACACCATTGCCTTCAGCCATCCTCCATGCTCTGGTTTTTATTAGTATCTTCAAATTTTGTAATGTCCTAAGAATCTTCAGATTTCAGTGATGTACCTTGAGCTAAGATGACAGGGCAATAAAGATTCCACAGAACCATTTTCATCTCGTACCTTTATGAATTAGAAGTGCTATTATTGCCTTTTACTATTTCAAAGCCTGAGATTGATTGTAACTGAATATAATATTCATTTTTTAGGGAACAACTTAATTCTTTATTGAAGAACTATAACATTTTTTATGAGAACCAGAAAAACCTGCATATTTCATATGGACAGGTAAGCCCATCAAAGAAATACAACAAGTTCACCAAAAACAAATTCTATAAACTTACAAATAAGTCAGGATGAGTTGGATGCTATCATCTAGCAACATATATGGTCTGAGAGAGAAACAGGTGTCTCTCATTTATTCTGATTTGCAATTTTAAACCATGTCACCAAATACTAGGCCTGGAATGCCTCTCACTTTCTAAGCTTTTCTGGCATAGGAAACCATATAAAAAATAACTTTAAGAATATATTTGCTTTCTAGTTTAAAATGGAATATTCCTCAAGTAATGGAAAATGTTATAAATAGTAAGTTCGCGACTTTACAAATGCAGCAAGATGTGCATAGAGAAATATTCTTTATAGCATCATTTGTAATAGAGAAAATGTGGAAATATCTTAAGTATGTATGAATGTAGAATTCTTAAAATAAACCATGGTGCATCTGTAAAAAGAAGTTTGATTTGTTTATTAAAAAGAGTAAGTTCAATTCCAGTGTATGTGCACTATCTCATAATTACAACACATTTTTTTGGTCTTTTGAGACAGGGTCTCCCTGTAGCTCCAGCTCTCCTGGAACTCACTATGTACACCAGGCTGGCCTTGAACTCACAGAGATATGCCTGCCTCTGCCCCCCAAGTGCTGGGATTAAAGGCGGGCACCACCACAACCAGCTACAACACATTTTTAAATGTTAAAGAAATAGTTCAGTTATTCATTCTGTCAAGCAATTGGCTTTTCATAGTAACTGTGGTTAATGAATTTTGAAATATGACTCTTTAGTTTCTGTATTTTCAAAGTTTCTATGTCAATATATTACTTTAATAAAAGAAAGGAACTTTACATATAAAAGAGAAGATAGGTTAGAAAATAAATTATATGGGAATATGGTTTGCTTTGTTTCTAGTACAAATATATATATATGTATATGCCTCATATATACATGCTTGAAATTTTTTCTTTGTTTACACATTTAGTCCTTATTTATGATTTTTAACTAAAATGAATTCTTCAGAACTATTTTTCACAAATATCTTCAAAGTATCCTCCCTATATTTGTGTGTGTGTATGTATGTATATGTGTGTGATGTGTGATGTGTGTGTTTATGTGGTGCATGTGTCCATGTATGTGCATGTATGTGCGCATGTGTGTATATGTGTGTGCAGTGTGGTATGTGTGAATATGTGTGTGTGTGGTACATGCATATGAGTGTGCAGGTGAGCATGCCCATATGTGTACATGTGAAAGCCAGAGAAGGATGTCAGACATTTTCTCTATCACTCTTTACCTTATTGCCTTGAGACAGGGTCTTTCACTGAACCAAGCCAAAAGCTTGCCATTATGGGCTAAGCTCACGGGCTAGCCAGTTCTTGGGATCTGCCTCTCTCTTGTCCCCAATCCTGGGGTTATAGACATATTCGGCCATACCTGGCTTTTTACATGAGTACTAAGGATTTGAACTCAAGTCCTCATGCTTGCAGAACAAGCCCTATTACCTACTGAGCCTTTTCCCTAGCTCTGTTTTATGTTTTATAATACGTTTTCATACACATTTTTTCTTTTCTACGTAACTTTGATTGTCAAATTCTTCCTGTTTACTCAAGTAGCTAGCTAAGTCTCTTGATAAATGTTTATTCTAATTTCTAGTTCAATATAGTTTTTAAACATCCTGTCATTTTAAATACATTTAAAACAATAAAATTCTCTTAATCGAAAACCAAAGTTTGGAAAGCATTTTAATGTATTTTGCCAGTTGATGAACAGGTCATTAACACTGTGCCTTATTCTTCTGGGTATAACTATTTTAAAAATAAAATAGTGTTTTGACCTCCCTCTGCTTCCCTGGGCCTGAAAGACCTGCTGCAGGCCTCTCTCCTACCCGCAGGCCTCTCTCTGGGGTAAGTCCATCACGCACCTTGACTCCCCCAGCCTCATTCACCCTCCCACCTCCATCACTGGTCTCTCCTCCTAGCCTGGGTCCTGCCCCATTCCTTGTCTTGGGGCCCCAAACACCTGGGGAATCAATACTGCTTCTTGATCCTTTTCATCCAGACCAACAAAGTGCCTTCTCTGGGCCCTAGAAGCACTGATTCTGGGCCTGGCCCTGCCCTCACCTCCCTCTGCTTCCCTGGGCCTGCACCACCCTCCAGCCTCTTTCTGGGATGCAGGAGCTGACCTTTGCATCCAGACCAACCCAGCTCCTCAGTGCAGTCCCCAGGAGGCCTTGGGGCCTCTTCCCGCCCCATCTGCCTTTGCATCTCTTGGTGGCACAGCCACCAGCTGCCCTAGACCAGCATCTTCCTGGGGCAGGCTCCCAGGCCAGTCCAACCCCCACATTCCTGAGGCCAAAATCATTCCTGGAGGGATCCAGACCTTAGGAGAAAGCCTGAAAACATCTGACCTTCACCTGAATTGGACCTC